GAGGGGGTAGGGGGAGGGGCAAACCCCTCCCCGAAGGGGAAGAAGGGGGGTTGAGGACAGAGAGAGCTCGCTAAACCACTCACGCCCGAAGGGCTGGTGGGATTTAATTCGCGGCGTTGAAGTCCAAAGAGTTGTGTTTCGGCACGGTTGAGGATTCTTAGACGGTTCTCTCCCAACGGTGCATCTCCAGCAGTGCAAAGCAGTTCTAGGCGTTTCGCGTAACCCCACCAGCCTACAGCAGCGCCTCCAGGAGCACAAGCGCAGACTGGACGAGGCTCGTTTTCGAAGGAGAGCCCGTGCCCTCCCCCCTTTGGACCGGCTACCAATCGGGTACGGGCAGCCGACCACCGCGCTGCTCCCCACATGCCTGGGTGACCTCGTCATGCGCACTCCGCCCGCCTATCAGCCTCAGAAGGTCGGCGCCACCCTCCCAGCTCACAAGCTGTCGGACGGCAGGTTCGGGCCAGACTCGCACCGCACGAGCACCTACACCGCCATGTGCGACACCTGCTTCCCGGGGTCGCCACTGCTCGTGTGGGCGGCAGGCAGCCCCGCGCTCGGCTGCTTCATGTGGCGCCCGGAACCTGGTGCACCGTGCAACGAGCAGACAGGGCTCCCGCCATGGGGCGTGATGCCCACGCTCTGGACACAGCAGCAATGGAATGCAGGTTGGGCCTGCACGAGATGTCTCATCCACATCTGGAATGTGGCACCCGGTGCCCTCGACTGCATTTTGGACTTGCACTCCTCCGAGGCGCACCCCCTTGCCCCTGCTAAACGCGCAGCAACAGCAGAAGTGCAAGAGAAGAGCTACGACATCAGCGCCCACCTCTCCCCATCAGGCGTCAATGCAGCGGCGAAGGGCGCCTATTCAAGGCCATTGGCCCCAACGGGCGAGCCCACCTCCAACGACATGGAGCTCAGCCGTCCAGCTGGCCCGTCGTGACAGCAACTCCGCGTTCCCCAACTCGGACCCACCAGCGTGTCCCGTTCTGCCAACCCTATCCCCCTACAGGCTCGCCGGAGTGGAGTCCGACGGTCCCGTCCACGCTCTGGTGAAGTACCTACTGGAGTGGAGTCACTCGGTCTACCTCTGCTGGGCCGACTTCGGACAGCAGTGCGGCGAGGGTATCCCAGGTGACAGAACCGATGAGACGTTGTGGCCCACAGCGCGCCTGCTCCCCTTCCTGGGAATGATCTACGGAGATTCGATCCCAGCGAGCGGCCACCCCCCAAGGATCCCATGGGGCGGGCAGCGGGCTGCAGCGGCCAGGGTGGCATCCCACCTAACCGGTAGGAGTGAAAAATACAGGGGGGAATGGGACCGCTACGCTGTTGGCCTTGCTGAGCAGAGAGGTCAGTTCCCCTTCCGACAGCGGATCGGCACTCTGCTGGCGTTCCTTACGGAGAGACCCCACTGCATTGGCCTGGGGGGCCATCGCCTTCTTTTCCACCCGCGACCCACGCGAGACAGCCACAGGCGTCCCAGCTGGGGCTGGGTCACCGGCAGCCGCCTGGCTCAACAGGGCTGTCGGAGCCGAGACCCCCCCCCTCAGCGGACAACCGCGGAGACGTGCAGGAGGGCCCCCCTTCCCGTGCTACCAGAGCGCCCCCCCAAGCCGCCGGGGCGGAAGGGGGGCGCGCCCCTCAGGCAGAGGGAAAAACTCTTACTGGGCAAACGTGCAAGAACGAGGGCGAAGTAGATGGGGTCGACTGGGGTGGGGAGGCAGACAAGAAAAGTGAGTCTGACACCCTCAAGGAGACAAGCTCGGAGCCCTGTCCAACCCCCACTGCTGGCGACCGAGATGAAGAAATCCCCGACCCCCGCAGGATCTGGTCGGCACCACCCGACAGGGTCACCTCAGAGGCCTGGCCCCCATACGAACAGGCCGCTTCCAGGGGCGCTGCCCGCGCCACCAGGAGCGCGCCGGATGACCCGCGAGGAGGGGGCAACCCAGCTGTGACCATCGACGACGCCAGGGACGACAGGTCCCTCAGGCGCGCGATCGGCGACAGGGGCCGCCAGCGACCCTTGCGGGAGGACATCAGGGATGGGGATCGCCGCGCAGCCAAGTCCCCGAGAGGCGACCCAGCCCGGCCACGCATGCCCCAGGCACCCTGGAGAGACGTACGAGAAACGCTGCCACCCCGAGGCAATCCGAGCGACCCCATGGGGGGCATCCCCATGTATATGTGCCCGGTCGAGGAAGCTGATGTTACGAAGGACGAACCGATACGGGGGAAGATACCGCGCCTGCAAAAACCGCTGGGAGGAGCGTTTAATGGGGTCTGGGTCGCCTGGGTGAGGAGGGCGGCCGCGAGGCAGGGGACCATCGGGATTGAAAAGAATGACTCCAAGCTGAACACCGTTCAACTGCGCGGCGAATTCTTTCAGGCACGGGGCAGCGCAGGGTATGACGCATACAAGATGGACAGAGACCTAGGGCTCAACGTCGATTGGCCAACGGTCAAGGACAGACATACCAGGCCCCTACAACGCGAGCCCAGACCCCGCGCACATGTGCAGCGCGGGACCGACAGCAGCAGCGGCCCCGCCCCATGGACCAAGGAGGGCAAGGGGGCGACAGAGGCGACCTCGCAGGAGCAATGGACTGGCGCATGCGGCTCCGCCAACCCGCGGCATGGATGGCAGGAATGGGTTTCCTGGTGCCACCAGGGCGCACCGTGGACAGACACCGACTGGAAAGCGAAAGGCAAACGTTACTCCCCATGGGGGGACAACCCATGCACCGACAAGCGCGCACGATGGTGGGATTGACCTGACTAGTGTGCTAAGGGCACGCAGGGACGGGCCCGCCCGACGGGGCGCCCCCTGCTCCCCCGGCTCGGCGACAGCGACACCCCCCCAGGCGCTCGCCGCCCTCTCCCCGCCGGGGTCACTTTCACCCTGCAGCGCCCGGCCTTGGCCGCAATGCCCTGGGCAGCTCCCGTTTGGGCGGGGGTGTCCCAACATCTCACCCAAGGCGCTGCGTAGCTAGACAGCCCGCACTGGATAAGTGGGCCTTGCCTGACCCCTCACCCCCCCCCCTGCGGCCGGTGGGGGTGAGCCCGCAGGCCCCGCCGGCCCAGGCCAACAGCCGCACATTGCGGCCGTTGGCTGCGCCCCCCTCTCCACCGCGCGGTCAGATTCAGCCCTTGCTGCGTTCCAGCGCTCCACGAGGTGGTCGCGGCAGCTGCGGATCTTGGCGACCATCGTGACCGGTACCTGCGAGGTTGCAGTATACCGGCCCTTGGGCCAGCGTGTCCCCTCTCATCGTTGCTGCCCCGAGCAGTCACTGGTTTCGGATGCGATGCCGACCCGCCGGCCCCCCCCCGGGCAGCGGTGCGGTCCGCGGAGTGAGTGCTCCGTTGGTACTTGCCGTCCCCCGGCTTATTCTGTGGTCAGTTTCAGCCCTGACTACGCCCCAGCGCCTATGAGCTGGCCGCGGCTGCAGCGTACCTTGGCGACCTTCGGCCGCTACCCGCTAGGCGGCAGTGCTGGCGCTTGGGCCTGGGTGTCCTCTGGCATCGTTGCTTCCTGGCCTGTGACTGGTTTCGGAAACGATGGCTGGCACTTCGGCCCCACCACGGGCAGCGGTGCGGATCGTGGAGTGAGAGCTCTGTAGGTCCCTGCCTTTCCTCTGCCCCTGTCGTAGCCGTCCCAGCGTACGGCGGTGGTTCGGACTTCGCGCTGAGTGGTTCAGCCTTCAGCGTGTCGCTTCGGTTCTACCTGCCCGCTCGGCTAGGTGGGCTGCTCGGAGCTTGGCGCCGACAGGGCGACTTCTCCGTTGGCTGGCGCCTAGGTGCGTTCGCCTTAATGCGGAGCATTTTGCTCAGTGCTTGCACACCTCGCATTCTCTGCGTTTTTATTACTGCAGGTGCATTGCCTGTTGTAGTTAATTCGCCTCGCCTGCTGGCCCAGACGACGCCTTCGCTCCCTGACCGCAGCCTCGGAGCCGCCGACTAAAAAAGTACCCCCACCAGGCCTTGCAGAACCGATGCCCAGACGAGTTGCCCTGATCAGGGATGTGGAAGAGCATGCAGTGGAGTGAAGTGTTGGGTAAGAGGTCCGGGGGAAGATGGAGGAGGAACTGGCGGAGCAGGAGGAGGAAGAGCAGGGAGAGGGGGAGAGGAGGAGGGAAGAGGAAGGGATAATAATAGGCGGATGAGGGAGGAGGAGGAGGAGGAGGAGGAAGGAGGAGGAGGAGGAGGGCAAACTGAAAGGCCCAACGCCTCTTGGATGCCTTTCGGAGTCTCTTCGGATTTCATCTGAGATCTTCGTGGGGTCTCTTGGGGTGTTTTCGGGGTCTCCTGGCAGTCCCGGGGGAGCTTCTTGAAGCCTCTTGGAGGTCTCTTGGGAGCCTCTTGGGGGCACCTTGGAGGCTTCTTGGGGGCCTCCTGGGCACCTCTCGGGGCCGTCTTGGGGCACCCTTGGGAGCCTCGAGCTTCGAGGAGATCGATCAAAAGAGGTGCCGTAGTACATTAGGGTGGGCCCCCGCCTGGGAGGCCAAAATGTGGCCAAAACCTGAATAAGATACATAGTTTTGCCTTCCTCGCCGATGCCGTCTTGGACGCTTTAACCCATCGCTACCCCCTCCACGTTCAGGGTGAGGGGGAGGGAGGGGGAACCCCTCCCCGAAGAGGAACACGGGGGTCGGAAGAGGAAACTCGCTAAACCACTCACGCCCTAAAGGGCTGGTGGGATTCTTGCATGGACCCATGAAGAGGGAACTTGGAGGGAGGGTTTGTTGCAGCACTGTTGATGCGCCGTGGGTTTACACTGGTCCTTGCCTCCTTTTCCTCCTCCCTCCTCCCTCCTCCCCCTCCTCCTCCTCCTCCTCCTCCCTCCTCCTCCTCCTCTCTCCTCCTCCTCCTCCTCTCTCCTCCTCCTCCTCCCTCCTCCTCCTCCTCCTCCTCCTCCTCCTCCTCCTCCCCTCCCCCCTGAGGGGCACGGGGAAGGGGATGGGGTCTCCATTGCTGGGCACACCGACGGCATCCCAGGAGCTGCACTGCCCGCCGTCGCTCTCGCCGCCGCGGCCCGAAGACGGCGGCCAGGGCCTGAGCGCCGTGCTGGGGGAGCACGGCGAGCACCTGGAGGCGGCGATGTGGCAGGCTGGCTGCCCGCCGCACGCGTGGGCCCGGGGCGCGGTGCCGGAGCTGTGGCGGCTGCTGCGGATCTGGGACGCCAACAAGCTGGAGGGGGGAGAACAAAGCGAAGACGAGAAACACTGTTCAGCTCGAGCTTAGCTCGAGGTCGCGCCGCCTCCAGGCGTCGTGGGGAGCTTCGGTCCAGGAGTGGCGGAGCGACCTCGCCCACCTCCGAGCCTCCCAGCGGATCCGATTGGTACGGTCCCTGACCCAGAAGTCGTGGTACAGTCGGACCGAGGTAAGAGATCGAGGTCGGTTCGGGGAGGGTACCCTACGGTTCTTCGCGTTTGCGGGATGTTCTGGTGCATCCTGGGGGGGGGGGCCTTGAATGTACTTCAGTTGGAATTTGGCCGGTGGAGAGTCTCATGTTCTTGAAGGATGTTCTTCGCCCCGAGAGAGGAGGTCCGTGGAGCAGCGGTGCACGCCGGTCGTTGAAAGTGGGCATTTCTGGATTCCCAAGAGGGAAAAAACACACAGACACAAGTGATCGTCGATTCCCAAGAAAATATGCGAAAATATGGGAAGTGGGGGGGGGAAGACAGAAACCCAGAGAATATGGGGAATCTTTTTATTTGTGTGTACTTATTTGTGTGTTTGTGGGCCCCTTCAGATTCCCAGATCCCAATCTACTTCAAGCGCCTCCCTACTTCAAGAATCGACGCGCTTTTGCTGTGTTTTGCTATTCCCTGGGGGGGCCTGGACCCAATCAACTTCATCCGCCTTCCTACTTCATGTTTCTACCTGCTTCTTCCGACCGACGTGTACGGGTGTCTGCCGGTTCCCCCACAGGCTGTCCCTCGCTGGCCCGGCGGGCCTGGAGCAGTGCGTGTTCTTCGTCCTGAGCCGCATGAACCACTCCTGCGAGCCCAACGTGCGGCTCCTCCCCGGCGGGGCCGCCGGGGAGCTCGTGGCGGTGGCCGCGGTGGACATATCGCGGGAAGCAAACGGTGACATGAACATAAATTTGCGGAGGTCCGCGCGGAGGATCGGCGCTGGAGCCCCCTCCCTGGCGCGCGGAGTGCACCAGGGGCGGCGCCAGAGGCGCCGCCAGGGGGGCTGCAGCGCCGATCCGAGAAACCCGCGCGGACCTCCGAAAAATTATGTCTATGTCATTGTTTGTTCCCCTAACTTCGCCGGGCGATGAGCTCAACATCTGCTACCTGGAGCGGAACGCGCTGCCGATGCTGCACTTCCTGCACCTCTCGATGATCCTCAAGACGTGTGCTAGCCCAAGTGTGTGTGTGTTACCCCGTATCGCTCCGCCTATAGCGTACAGCTTCTGCCGGCCCGCGTTGCGCCGCCTGCGTCGCGTTGAAGGGCCTCGGTGGACAAGCACGCGTTGGCGCTGACACTCTCATGTCCGCGGGCGCCAGGGCGTGCGGGACGGTCAGGAGCAGGTCAAATGGGCCACGCGCAGAGGGGGGTAGGGGGAGGGGGGAAGGCTTCTTAGAAGCACCCCTGCTTCTTAGAAGGCGCGGGCCTTGTCTACAGATGTAAGGCCGGCGCCTTCTAAGAAGCGGCCTGCTTCTAAGAAGCCCTCCCCCCTCCCCCCACCCCCTTGTGCGCGCCGCCAATCAAAGCGAGTGGCGGGCTGCACCGGAAGTTAAGACAGGCACGAAACGACAGAGCAAGAGACCACGAGAGCAGGGGCACAGACGGAGCCCGAGCAGACCATGCAGGTCGGCGCGGGAGCGCCGACGAAGTGCGCGCCGCTGCGCACGAGGCACGGCTGGCGCTGGCACACGTCCTGCGGATCGTGGGGCCTCCCCACCGCCAGCCGGCAGCACTTGCTCCTGCGCTGGGGCTTCCTGTGCGGCTGCCCCCGCTGCTCTGCGCCGCGGGACCTGGCCCGGGCCTTCGGGTGCCCCGAGGTTCGGCATCGCCCCGACGACGACGACGACGACGACGACGACGACGACGACGACGACGTCGACGTCGACGACGATGGCGGTGGCGGCGACGACGACGACGACGACGATTCTCATACTCATTGGACAACTGAGCCACGTAATGAAAACGGGGTCGACTGCGCTGACATTCGCGCGCAGGCTGCCCGCGTAAGGTCGCGCCTGAGCGCCCTCGTTTCCAGTATAGCGTGCCGCTCTGGCGGCCCGCGTACGTCGCGGCGTAGGGTCGCATCGCGCGTCAGACCGCGTTCTTTCTTCGCCCACTTGCACATCAGCCCCAACATCAAATAATAGTTGCCCCAACACAGCACACCATTAGCAGCACAGGTGAAGAGGCGGCAGGGTGAGGTGGCCGCCTGGCGGGCACGCTGAGGTAGCCACTTGACTGATTCGTGTGTGAGCCTGGTGTCGTCCGCCTGGACACTGGAACAAGAACAAGGGGAAGAGGCGGATCGAGGAGGAGAAGAACTGCTAGAGAAGCCGTGCAGTCCTGGCTGTCCCCTGGGGAGGCCCCGGAGGAATGCTGCAGCCGCCGCAGGGTTTGAGAGAGCACGGCCGTGCGCACCGGAGTGCCTGGCATCGCTCGGACGTGTGCACTTTTTCTCGGCGAGGGCGATCGAGGAGCATCCTGGATCATTTGGCGAAAAAGCCACGCACGAAACCGAAAAAAGCACAGGGAATGGACGTCCGAGCGATGCCAGGAGTGTGTCTGTTGCTGGGAGTCGTGGCCGTCTGGACCCCCAAGATTCGGGTGCAGCTCCTGGGAGGTCAAATTCTGAGTTTGCCTTGGTCCGAAAGCCAGCTTCATCCCGCTCCATTCTGCTCAATCCCGTGCAGTCCCTCCCGCCTACTCCGAGGCCCGCTCCGGCGTAACAGTCACCCGATGGGGCTTAATCCGCCTTTGAACCTTTCCGACGACTGCCTCCCAGTAGCTGCCTCCTAACCCAAATGTAGCCGGCATGGGAGGCGAGAGCACGATTCCTGCATACGTTGTGTGAAGTCTCAGGCGACACGGCTGCCGGGGACCGGGCGATCCAGCGCTCCCCGCGCCGGTGCCTTTTGTGTAGCTCTTCTGTGGTCCATTCTCTCTGTTGCATCTTGGGGGGACCTCGCCTGTCCCAAAAATGGTGTCTTTTTGGGGGCCCGACGCGTGCTCGATGCGGACTCGACGCGGATTTGGCGTGGATTCGACGCGGATTCGACACGGATTCGACATGGATCCGACGCGTCCGACATGGATTCGACACGGATTCGACGCGGACAGGGCCGCGACAGGACAGACAAGGTCCCCCGAGGATGCAACATAATTGTGGTCCATTCTCATGTAATCGTTTCGCTCATGCCGCCGGCCCGCACTGTGCCATCGCGGGCGTTGGCCTGCGCGTTCGTGGCCTCTTGGAGCCTCGTGGGGGCCGTTTGGGGGCCTCGTGGGGCTGCTGGACTGCTGGAAGATGAAGAGTGCGACGTTGCGTCGGCGGAGCGCTCGAGCCGCTGAGGGGAGCGTGAGAACACGTAGAGCGCAGAGAGGGTGTGACTTCACGAAGCCAGGGCAATAAGGGTCGCAGCAAAAAGAACTCTCGCTCACGATTTGGCGGTGCGCCGTTTCGGCTCGACGTGAATTCGGCGTCGCAGGAGTATCTTGGCAGGCGTCTCGGGAACGTCTTGGAAGCCTGTGGGGCCTCTTGGCGGCTTCTTTAGGGCTCCTTGGGGCTCCGTGGCGGCGTCTTGAAGACCGTGGAGCCTCTTGAGAGGCACTTGGGAGCGGGTGGAGCCTCTTCGGAGCGCTTTTGGGGGCGGATGGGGCCTCTTGGGAGCACATGGGAGCGACCTTGAAGCCTCTTGTGGGGCTCTTATGGGCCTCTTGGGAGCTTTTTGGAGGCCTCTTGGAGCTCCTTGGCGGCGTCTTGGGGGCCCCTGGAGCCTCTTGGGAAGCTCGTGGGGGCGAGAGGAGGGGTGGTCGATTGCGGCTCCCCCCTCGGAAGCCAGGATCCTCGTGACACGTGTCGGAAAATTGCCCTCCCCTGGAGCTTTCTGGGGGACCTGGCCAGGGATCGCCCGGGGATCCGCCGGGGATCGGCCGGGGTACTTTTCGTATGGGGACCCCCAGGGGCCGCCACACGCGCGCGAAGTAGAATATTGTTAAACAGTTGCCGGAGATTTTAGCGCACGCCTCTGGCCCGTTGGGCCGGCGAATGTCCAGTAGATCCCTGTAGCGAAGCGCCATTCGGGAAACATGGCCATGAACATACAGTGCTGTTTTTTGATACATTCTCCGCGTGCGGATCATGTATGAAAAGTGCAGGGAGTTAGCCTTAAACATTACTCCGACGGAAGGACCCCGCATGATAATCTGTTTAGCTTGCCCTTATCCGTATCCTCCTGGCCATGGCAAACACCCTCCTCTCGCCCTCTCCTCTGCCCTCTTTTCTTCCTTCCCCCTCCCCCTTCTTCTCCTCCTCCTCCTCCTCCTCCTCCTCCTTTTCCACCTCCTCCTCATCATCGCCCTCCCCCCACCCCTTCCCCCCTCCTCATCTTCCTCCTGCCGCTTCTCTATGTGCACCTCCCTTTCCCCCTGGTCGGGGCAAGCAAGTCGATTTTCTCCGGCGCCGTCGCCGCCTCGGCCAGCACGCGCGCGTTCGCCGACGGCTAGATCGCGAAGCTTGTGGGGCGACCCCGCGGGCCATGCCTTTAGGGCAATCCCGCGGGCCGCTGGGGCGCGAGGGCAGGCCGTCGGGACAACCCCGCGGGCCAGACCATTGGGACAACCCCGCGGGCCTCAAGCTGCGCGCCGCGGCGCTCAGGCTGCAGGCAGCACGGAGCCAAGCTCCGCGGCGAGCTGTTCGGCCTCATCCCTGGAGGTCTTCGCTTTCTCATCGAACTCCTTGAGCGCCTTCCGCGAGGACGCTGGCGGCCCTCGCTCCAGGAGGTCGCGCGGGGGCGGCCGCAGGATCAGCATGTTCCGCATGCACGTGGCGCGGGATAGCATGACGTAGAGGTGCAGCCACCGCTGGTCGTCCGACATGCCCGTGCGGCCAGCGTCCTCGTCCCTCGCGCAGTCGATGGTGACGCCCTTGCGCAGCGTCTGGCCCTGCGGCAGCGTGGAAGTGAGGTAGGACGCGTGAGTCAGAGTGAACCCCGAGCGGCGCACGGTGTGCGGCCCCGAGCTCTGCCACGTGAGCTCCTGCTCGCTGGGCCTGAACATCAGCAAGCTCCGAGCCCGCGCCTCGGCCTCGCGGCGTTCAACGGCGCCTTCGGCGCCCGGCAGCAGCAGCTCGGCGACCTCCCTGTCGATTGGGGACTCCTTGAAGCCGTGGACCTGCAGCCAGACTCCCTTCGGTAGGTAGCGGGGGCGAAAGAGCTGGCCCGGCGCGCTCTCCTCGTAGTCCCGCTCGTCCTCGCGGTGGAACTCGAAGGGCACGATGGTGGCCCGTTGCTCCTGCACGAGCCCCAACTTCTTCTTCAGCTCCTCCTGCACTGCCGTGAATCGCACCTCCATGCCGACGTGGGCCGGCAAGACGCCGTGGATGTCCCCCGTCTTGTGCATGTTCGGGACGCTCAGGAGGCGCCGACCCGCGTCGGGATCGCCCTGAATCGCGCTGCACTCGTCAACGGCCTGCAAGACAACGAGGGGCACGCCCAGGCGCCGCGCGTCGCGACGAGCGCGCGCGTTGATCCACATCGCCAGCGTCTCCCAGTAGATGCCCATGCCGTAGCCGAGCCGAAAGTTCTCGTGCTGGTGCCGAGGGTCGAGGAGGCCGCGGTTGTCCGACGCCAACGTCTTCTCCCAGGCGGACCAGACCTCCGGCAGGAAGGGTTTGCCCTCGCGTTTTGCCGGCGGGCCGTCGTCGGGCCACGCCGACGCTGCCGGGCCAGGGGAGTCAGTGACCAGGACGTCCAGCTCTGACAGGGCAGCGGCCACTCCCGGGTGCTCAGATGCGACGCCCGCGTGGTACAAGTACCAGTTGTGCATCCGTTTTTCCTCGGGCCCCGCCCGCTGCTGGAGCCTCGCCTGAAAGCCGAATCCGCTCCGTGCTCTCAGAGCCGTCATATTGGCAACCGCCCACCGACGATGCTCTGCCACGTCAGCGAGCAAAGCCGCCTCCGTCTTCTTGGGAGGCATGTTGATATGTCACGATCTGCGGTTGGCAACAGGAAGCAGAGCCAATGCGGATTGAGCCTCAATCGCTACGGTGTCAGCTGATATCTGCTGGTCTCCTCTGGCGCATGATGCTCTCAGCTGGTCTCTGCTCCTCTCCGCTGGCGTGCGCTGCCATCTGCTGGTCTCTGCTGGTCCCCCCTGGTGCCGTTGATCTCTGCTGCTTTCTGTTGCTGTTTGATGCGCTGTGCTGCTCGCTGCTGGTCTGGTCGCTGCTGGTGTCTGCTGCTCAATGTTGGCGTGCTGGCTGTTTTCCGCTGTTGTCCGCTGCTCTCTGCTGTTGTCTGCTGTTGTCTGCTGCTCTCTGCCCCTCTCCGCTGGCCACTGCTGGTAACTGCAGGTGCGCGCTGCTCTGCAGGGCCTGCGCAACGAAGACAACATAGAAAAACAGCAAACACCCTGGGCGAGTAAGAACACACGTTGGGGAGCCCATTGAATCGAATGAGCACCCTGATTTTTTCCCTGCGCGCGCACAGCAGGGGCATGGAACGAAGAAAGCTGGAGCGCGCCGTTGGGACACCTCCGCAGGCGCGCTGCAGCACTTCGGAGCGCGAGGTAACGGGGCCGGAGCCAGCCGCCGGGATAAGCCTGGATAGACTCTGGTAGAGGTCGCTCCGCAAAGAACTTCGGGGGCTGAAAAAAACTCCAGAGGCCGAAACCCCGGACGAAGGCGACGTGCGATGAACCGCTGGGGGCCGACTTTGCGAAAAAATCCCGACGTCGGATCTCTGAGTAATTACGACTCTCCTCTGCTGCTCCTCCTCCTCCTCCTCCTCCTCTTCCTCCTCCTCCTCCTCCTCCTCCTCCTCCTCCTCCTCCTCCTCCTTTCCTCCTCCTCCTCCTCCTCCTCCTCCTCCTCCTCCTCCTCCTCCTCCTTCCTACCTCCAATGGATACGTGCAGCCCGGAGGACATTCACGACCCACCCCTTCTCCTCCTCCTCCTCCTCCTCTCCTCTTCCACCTCCTGCTCCCCCTCCTCCTCCTCCTCCTCCTCCTCCTCCTCCTCCTCCTCCTCCTCCTCATCATCATCATCATCATCATCATCATCGTCTTCATCGTCGTCGTCATCATCTTCATCATCATCATCATCATCATCATCGTCATCATCATCATCAGCAACATCATCATCATCATCCTCATTATCATCATCACCATCATCATCATCATCATCATGCTCGTCATCAACATCGTCATCATCATCATCGTCTTCATCGTCGTCGTCATCATCTTCATCATCATCATCATCATCATCATCCTCATCATCATCATCATCATCATCATCATCATCATCATCATCATCATTTCCATCATCATAACCTCAGGAAGGCATTAAGAACCCCCCCCCC